TGTGTGTGTGTGTGTGTGTGTGTGTGTGTGTGTGTGTGTGTGTGTGTGTGTGTAAAAGCTGTATAAAGTCAGGCTGAACTGAAGGTATCAGAGGAACCAGTTCTGCAGCTCAGAAACCAGTAGAACAGGAAGTTTCCAGCAGCTGACCTGTGACTTGACCTTTGACCTGGGAGAGGTGGAGTAGACAGAAGACTTCTTCAGAGAGGAGACGGGCTGAGCCTGGTTCTCTGCAGCTCTGAGGGACACACAGAACATCAGCAGTTAAAGATCAGCTTCTACTTACTGCTCCAGTCTGCCTCAGCTCTGGGACTTGTTGTAGCTCGGGGGGGGTCCTGGTGATGAGGAGCAGGGAGTCACAAACACATTTAAACCTGATGGAGCTTCTTTTATTTAATACTAGAAATAAAAAAACAAGAACATCTGGTTCCAGATGTGCTGGTTGACTCATTTACCTGAAACATTCTGTCCTCCAGCTGCAGTCCTTCTGATTTAACCAAGTCCCCTAACCCTAAACCACTAACCCCTAAACCTCTAAACCACTAACCTCTAACCATCTAACCCCTAAACCACTAACCTCTAACCATCTAACCTCTAAACCACTAACCTCTAACCATCTAACCCCTAAACCACTAACCCCTAAACCTCTAACCATCTAACCCCNCAGGATGAAGGATGAAGGATGAGCTCAGGATGAAGGATGAGCTCAGGATGAAGGATGAAGGATGAGCTCAGGATGAAGAGCTGCTGCTTCGTTCCATCAGAACAACCACAGGTTAAACAGTGAATAAACAGAACCAGAACCATGCAGGTTCCAGACAACCTCCTGCAGATCAGCTGAAACTGCTCACAGTGAAGCAGGAGCTCCTCTTCAGCCTTCATGTTCAGACCTCCATCATCACAGACATGATGCTTGGTTCTGATTCTGAACGTGATGTTTGTTCTGAAGCAGGAGAAACTCTTCTTCCTCATCATGAAGACCCCTGAGGGGTCCAGACAGCAGCAGCAGGATGCTTAAAGCTTTCCTCTAAAGACCTGTTGATCCTGCGGAGACGCTCAGACATGAGAAGTCCCACTGCACCTGAACACATCACAGCCTTCCCCACATAAAGATAATTAACAGATGATCCAAACGGACCACAGCTCCTGGAAGCTTCTGAACCAAACCAACAACTCTTTTTACTGAGCAGCTAAACTTTAGTCTTTATAAGTCAGACAAAACTAAACATTTGAAACTGAAAAACTCCTTTTGGACAGAAAATCATGTGGAAAGTTACAAACTGGTTTTATCTGCTAAAAGTTAAAGAGTTTAACCCACAGAGTGAAGAACTTTTAAAAAGGTTTTAAATATAAACGTGTTTCAGACAGACCAGGTTCAGAACCAGATCCACTGGATCAATAAAATGTTCTTGTTCTGTAGATAATTCTTACAAATAAAATTAATTAATTAAAAAAGTCTGTTAGTGTGTGTGTGTGTGTGT